TAGGAGTATAGTGTCTAGATCTAGGGAAGTAATGCTACCCCTCTATTCTGCCTTGGTTAGACCACACCTGGAATATTGTATCCAATTCTGGGCACCACAATTGAAGAGAGATATTGACAAGCTGGAATGTGTCCAGAGGAGGGCGACTAAAATGATCAAGGATCTGGAGAACAAGCCCTATGAGGAGTGGCTTAAGAAGCTGGGCATGTTTAGCCTGAAGAGAAGGCTGAGAGGAGATATGATAGCCATGTATAAATATGTGAGAGGAAGCCACAGGGAGGAGGGAGCAAGCTTGTTTTCTGCTTCCCTGGAGACTAGGACGCGGAACAATGGCTTCAAACTACAAGAAAGAAGATTCCATCTGAACATGAGGAAGAACTTCCTGACTGTGAGAGCCGTTCAGCAGTGGAACTCTCTGCCCCGGAGTGTGGTGGAGGCTCCTTCTTTGGAAGCTTTTAAACAGGCTGGATGGCCATCTGTCAGGGGCGCTTTGAATGCAATATTCCTGCTTCTTGGCAGGGGGTTGGACTGGATGGCCCATGAGGTCTCTTCCAACTCTATGATTCTCTGATTCTATATAATCCAGTTCAGAGCATGGCAGAAGGAGCCTTGGTGAGTGAAACTCAAGATGTTGGAATGCATTATTGTGGAAGTTGTTTCCTCCTCTGTAGGAAGAGGAATTGCATGCATGATTTATGACTGTTCAGCTGCCATGGTTGGTAAGGCAGACTCGGGGAAACAATCCTCAAGCAGAACCAGACAGACTGCAGAGGTTACGCACAATAGTCTCTTTATTTGTTGTTGTCGGCTCACAGAGAAATCTAAAGGTATCCGGCATTCCTCTCCCCTTCCTTTTATCTTTCTCCTACGCCACCTTCACACACCCCCTCCCTCCCAATTAGCCAGCAGATGTTCATTCACATGCTTTGAGCCCTGTCTGCGTCTCTTCCCTCTGGATTAAGGGAGTATGCTCTATGAAATCACTGGGGTGTTGTGTGGTTTCCAAGCTAGTGTGTTCTACCAACATTTTCACTTGACGTTTCACCTGCATCTTTGGCTACTGGCATCTTCAGGGGATCTGATGGAAGTCAAGCAAGTGGAGTGCATATACCTGTGAAATCCATCCATTCGCATGTGAGCAACTGAGAAGATTGCATAGTCAATAGAGAGTCAAACACAAAAGACACTGCAGAACAATTAGCAATAGCAAAACACATGATAAACCACGGTGGGCACAGAATATTATTTGAGAACACACATTCTGGACCACTTTGACAACCACTATGGCAGACTACACAAAGAAGCCATTGAAATCCACAAGCACATGGGCAATTTCGACAGAAAATGAACAAAATGTGGCTACCAGTATTGAGAAACACCAACACTGTGACTAATAATGCCACCCGGACACAGGAGGTCTCCAGGCAGAAAGCCATCAAGGGCCAGTGAACGCCACTCAGGCAAAGGATTCCTCCAGGCAATAAACACTCCAAGGGAATAAAGGCCTGGCGACTTTCAGGCAGATGCCCTCACTATTGACTATGCCATCTTCATCCCTCTTGCAAGGTCAGGAAAGATCCAACATAATCAGAGTAAGCCTTTTTATTCTGAAAGCTATTAAGAAAAGAGCAGATTTCCTGAAAGAAGAACCAGGAAAATAAGATTCTGACTATAAATAGAAGGTCAGTTGCTGTCCTCACCTTTTTTGCCTTGTTTTTTACTCGTGTTCTATTTTGAAATGGTCATATGACTGATCAAATAAATAATAATAATAATAATAATATTATTATCATTATTATCATGACTATGCCATCTTCTCAGTTACCCACATGCTAGTGGATGGATCCTACTCTAACACTTGCAAATCAGGCTTGCTCGTTGCACTCTTCACACTTGGTTAATAGACATTGGTTCTTTCTCCCTCCCTGGATATTCCACAAGTTTCTATACTTCACTTGCTTCTCCACAATCAAATCCTCTGAAGATGCCAGTAGACACAGATGCAGGCCAAATGTCAGGAGAAAATGCTGCTAGAACACATTGGCCATACAGCCCAGAAACCACACGACACTCTGTAGTGTGCTCTCTTCATTACAAGAGTGGGACCCTCTGCCTTGCTCTCCTTCCAATTATATACTAGAAGGGGAATTCCACAATTCAGCAGATTGTATGCAAAAATTAGAGAGGATTCTTGTTCTATTTTCTGTCTTCATGGATTTCAGAACACAAGATCTTCATTGTCTCAAAGGTACCAGAAATCAACATTTTGCAAAATAAAATAAATATACTTTGAGTCATTGCTAAGCATTCTTATTAAAATGTATACCTAAACAATCACTACTGATTTAAATCTTGAATTACTATATGTCACATTTTCCAGATATCCCATGGTCGAGCAGATGCTAAGGGAGAGGCAGTTTTTGTCATATACTGTGGATATTCTAGAATTCCTGAGAAGATATGGCAAAATACAAGGGATGGCAGGGAGATTCCAATCTGGATCTTCACAGTGTAGTTCCAACACAGCACTTGTATTTGTTTACAACAGCTTCTGGTTTTTCACTAGGCAGCAACCTTCCCCTGTGTGATGACCTCTAGGCAGAGTAGACTACAACTCGTAGGAGCTCCAAGACCCTGTTCTGCTGTCTGGGAACTTCTAGAAGTTGAAGTCCAACAACATTAGGTTGGCTCCTGTCTTTAGACTGGAGAAGACTGCTACACATGTATTAAATATGGTAGTGACGGGTATCTATGTAAAGGAGGAAAATAATTGTGTGACCAGGCTATCTTCCTCTGTGGATAAAGGTACATTGTAACTGCAAGCTCTGTTGTTGTTGTTGTTCATTAGTTCAGTCATTTCTGATTCTTCGTGACTTCATAGACCAGCCCATGCCAGAGCTCCCTGTCGGTCGTCACCACCCCTAGTTCCTTCAAGGTCAATCCAGTCACTTCAAGGATACCATCCATCCATCTTGCCTTTGGTCGGCCCCTCTTCCTTTTTCCTTCCATTTTCCCCAGCATCATTGTCTTCTCCAAGCTTTCCTCATGATGTAGCCAAAGTACTTCAGCCTGGCCTCTACTATTCTTCCCTCCAATGAGCAGTCAGTCTTTATTTCTTGAAGTATGGACTGGTTGGATCTTCTCGCTGTCCAAGGCATTTTCAGCACTTTCCTCCAACACCACAGTTCAAAAGCATCTATCTTCCTTCGCTCAGCCTTCCTTATGGTCCAGCTCTCACATCCGTAGGTGACTATGGGGAATACCATTGCTTTAACTATGAGGATCTTTGTTGCCAGTGTAATGTCTCTACTCTTCACTATTTTATCAAGATTGGTCATTGCTCTCCTCCCAAGAAGTAAGCGTCACCTGATTTCCTGGCTGCAGTCTCTGTCTGCAGTCATCTTTGCAGCTAGAAATACAAAGTCTGTCACTGCCTCCACGTTTCCCCCCTCTATTTCCCAGTTGTCAATCATTCTTGTTGTCATAATCTTGGTTTTTTTGACGTTTAGCTGCAACCCGGCTTTTGTGCTTTCTTCTTTCACTTTGATTAGAAGGCTCCTCAGCTCCTCCTCGCTTTCGGCCATCAAAGTGGTGTCATCTGCATATCTAAGGTTGTTAGTGTTTCTTCCAGCAATTTTCACCCCAGCATCCATCCCTACAAGCATCCATCCCTAAAAAAGAAAACCTCTCCTCCCCAGGAAGTGACTCTAGCAGCAATCCCAAAGCTTGGCTGCTGTCTTCGGGTTAGAGAGCATGGAGCTGCTGCGCACATGATCTGCATGTTTTCACTTATGGCATTGGCCGATGCATTGAAATTAATCAAGTGATTGGATTCATAAGATTTTGAGTGATGCCATGCAAATCATGGGGCATGTCTGTTCCTTTGTACTTTGAAAAAGACTTCATGTGCATAAATATGTTTCTTAAGACACAGGAGCAAAATAAAAAGTATATGCGCATGAGTCTGACCTAAAGACTGTATTAAAAGGTAGCCATATTAATCTGTTATATTAAGATTTGAGACTGTGACAGACAATTGCATAGCATAAACCTTTTGTGGACTCCAGTGTATTTCATCAGATGAATAAAACAAAGCCTCCAACTGTTATGATTTTTGCAACGACTGCCTTGATTCGTACTTCATGATCTCATTTTCTCAAAGGCATTTCCATTTCTTGTTCTTCTTCCCACTTTTCCCCCAGCTTCTTTCAGTCTCTGCAAATTGAGTTCAAAGTGTAAACGTTGATTCTGCTGGGGAAAGTGGGGTGGGATCTTTCCCTTCTCAGGAGACTTTGGTGGAAGCAAACTGCTGCAGTGTCTTGTCGCTTGTGTGTCCTTCCTTATTAGTAACATTTGCTATCTTGACCACACTTGAGTTGCTTGGAGGCATGTTCGGGTTTTCATCTGTGAAACGTTGTAGTGAAGCCTACAGGCATATACATTGGGGGTGGGAGGTGTGGAATGGGAATGGCGATAGAAATGCAAAAAAAGGAGTTAGGTGATAAGAGTAAGATATTCAATCTCAATGATTACAGTGATTGAAATGCAGACACCCCCTCCCCCATGTTGTATGCCAATGGTACCAAAGCAAAATCAGTGCTAGATCTCAGTATCCAGATTCCAGCAACATTGTGGCAATGCTGATAAATGAGATCCATACAGAGGAGCCTTAGGGCACCAGGAAGGGGTTTGTAGGTATCAGAATACCTACAACTAACAAAACTACTAAACCAAACCAATACACAAAACATACATACAAAAGCAAAACTAACAAATGTAAAAACTAATCTACTTTCTTGCCCTTCTCTCTGTCTTTTTAGTTCTGACTAGTTTAAGCCCTTTAAGAAATATTATATATAGCAACATACTACTAGCACCAAAATCCCGCAGTCAGAAGGGGACGTGAGGCAAGGGGAAGCCAGAAGTGATGAGATGCGGATGCTGTAAAGGGAATAGGGCATCCTTTCTTCTCTCTAAACCTTCCCTGTTCTCTCTCACAGACAGACCCTCTCGATGTGAGCCTTTCCACTGCAATAACCAATGGTGACCCGGAGCCCCCTGTCAGTGGGGACTTTGAAATCCACGAGGAGGAGGTGGCTCCAACCGAGCTCAGCAATGAAGTGGCTCCCCTGGTGACTCCGGCAGCTGGACCGGTGCTGAGGAAGAACGTGGAGTCGGGGCTCATAGACAATACCATTGAGTCTGGAAACTCTGCTGCACAGCTTCCCCAGAAAAATATCCTTGAAAGAAAAGAAGTACTCATAGGTGAGACATGTGCAAAGCATGTGAATAATAGGTGTGTGACCGTGTGTGTAGTGCTTCATAAAACTAAGGTTTTAGTTTGTTTAAAAGTTCTCTGAAATAATAAGTGTTTAAATGAAACATGAAATTAACAAAGGTCTGGAGACCATGAATAATTCCTCTGAGGACTATCTCAAAAAGCTAGCAGAAGAGAATGCTGATGATCATGCCATTACTACTCAAGCAAGGAGCTTTGAGATGGTAGAACAGAAGCTCTCCGAAGCTCTAGGTGCTCTTACTGCCTATTACAGGGAAAACCAGCAGATCCCTAATCCATTTAAAACACAGACATGTGCTTTTCACCTTAAGAACAGACAAGCATCCCGAGCTCTGAGGATTACCTGGGAAGGAATCCCACTGGAGCATTGCAGCGCACCCAAATACCTGGGAGTCACCCTGGACCGTGCTCTGACCTACAAGAAGCACTGCCTGAATATCAAGCAAAAAGTGGGTGCTAGAAACAATATCATATGAAAGCTGACTGGCACAACCTGGGGATCACAACCAGACACAGTGAAGACATCTGCCCTTGCGCTATGCTACTCTGCTGCTGAGTATGCATGCCCAGTGTGGAACACATCTCACCATACTAAAACAGTGGATGTGGCTCTTAATGAGACATGCCGCATTATCACGGGGTGTCTGCGCCCTACACCACTGGAGAAATTACACTGCTTAGCCGGTATTGCACCACCTGACATCCGCCGGGAAGTAGCAGCCAATAGTGAAAGGACCAAGGCAGTGACATCTCCAGCTCATCCCTTGTTTGGGTATCAGCCAGCACGTCAACGACTTAAATCAAGAAATAGTTTTCTAAGATCTACAGAGACACTCGCTGGAACACCTCAGCAAGCAAGAGTCCAAAAGTGGCAGGCTCAAACCCAGAACCTCAATCAATGGCTGATGCCAAATGAGAGACTCTCCCCTGGGCACACAGAAAACTGGGCGACTTGGAAGGCACTGAACAGACTGCGCTCTGGCACCACAAGATGCAGAGCCAACCTTAAGAAATGGGGCTACAAAGTGGAATCCATGACATGTGAGTGTGGAGAAGAGCAAACATCAGACCACCTGCTGCAATGCAACCTGAGCCATGCCACATGCACAATGGAGGACCTCCTTGCGGTAACACCAGAGGCACTCCAAGTGGCCAGATACTGGTCAAAGGACATTTAATCAACTACCAAGCTTGCAAACGTTGTGTTTTGTCTGTCTGTCTGTTTGTTTTGTTTTGTTAAAAAAGTAATACAAATGTCTGGTTGCTTCTGACACGATAAATAAATAAATAAATAAATAAGCAGAAGAGAAGGCTGAGAGGAGACATGAGAGGAGCTATGTATCAATATGTGAAAGGGTGCCATAAGGAAGAGGTGCTTGGAAGGTGCTGAACAGGCTGTGCTCTGGCAACACGAGGTGCAGGGCCAAGCATGAGAAATGGGGCTAAAAAGCAGAGTTCATGACCTGTGAGTGTGGAGAAGAGCAAACTACAGGCCATCTACTACATGCAGCCTGAGCCCTGCCACACCCGAGGCACTCCAGCTACACCAGAGGCACTCCAAATGGCCAGTTTCTGGTCAAAGGACATTTAGTTTTAATGCCAAGTTTTTGACTTTGTGATTTTTTCTATCCATTATAACTGCATTCCTGATACGATAAACAAATAAAAAAAGACAAGGGAGCAGAATTTTTTTCTGCTGCCGTGGAGACTAGGGCTCAACGGAGTCATGGGTTCAAGTGACACGAAAGGAGATTCCAATGAACATTAGGAAGAACTTTCTGGCAGTGAGAAGAGTTGTTCAGCAGTGGAACTCTCTGCCCCGGAGTCTTTGGAGACCCCTTTCTTGGATGCTTTTAAACAGAGTCTGGGTGGCCTTCTGGCCGGGGGGCTTTGTGCTTTTCCTGCAGGGCAGAAGGGGGATGAACTGGATGGCCCATGTGGTTTCTTCCAATTCTATGATTGTATTATTTTAATAATATTTGATTTTACCAATATGTTGATTGTAATGTATAACCATTGTGATTAGCAGCCATCATTTTTTTTATTATTACCTGAGGTATTTGGTGATACCTGAATTAATTGAACTATGTAACAACATTTCTGTTCCTGGTTTGAAAGTATTATTTCTCATTTAATTGTGTGGTCCTGACTTTGAAAGTAGTTGTTCTGCTCCAGAAACTTTGTTTCTGTGGCACAAACTAGGTTGAATTGGCTGAGACTCAATGATGGGACGTTCATTGAGAAACTAGAGCCAAATGTACGGCAGAATGTATACATTTTCTAATGTACAAATTTTGTTCTTTTTTAAAAAAAATCTGAGAATGGCATTGCAAAATTTGGAGCCACGTGAAAACAAAGGATCAATATATTTGCTTCTAAGTTCAGAAAGAGGATCAAGAAGAGCAAATTAGGTCTGATCCTATTGAAATGTTTTTAAAAAGCAAATATCTGCAATCTCTCCTTACTGTTGAGAGAAAAACAGTTAAAGGAGTCTACTGCTCATCCAATTAGATTAGGCAATACTGGGCTGAATGGACCATTGTGATGGTAACTCACTAATTTCCAACCACCTCATTTTCCTCCATGGTTGCAATAACTGAGGTTTTTTAAAAGACATCCTGAATTGTGGACCGTCATACAAGAGAAGTACAGTGACAGCCAGCTCTACCATCAGTCAGAACAAGACATTCCCCGCAAGCATCGGGTGTGGAAAAGCCAGCAGTGGCTATGCCCTGGTTGTGCTTCCTTCAACTCCTGCCCTTTCTGCTGTCTTGGAAGATGGAACGGTGTGTGTCCACCATCACCTAAACTGGCCTTTTGCGGTCAGATGGAGCAGAAGACTTTTCCAAACTATGTGCTGTGACATGTTAGTGTGTCTGCTTCAGTGTGTCGGTGTGTTGTGTGAATGTAATGAGAAACCTCTGAATCTTTGTGAAATAAGCAATACATCATATATCCTTATTTACTCGAATCTTATGCACACCTCAATTTCCAAAACCTTGAAACCCAAAAAAGTACCGTATATACTCGACTATAAGCCGGGTTTTCCAGCCATTTTTTCAGGCTGAAAAACCTCCCCTTGGCTTATATTCAGGTCAGGGAACGAGGGAGGAGGAGGGAAAGGCAAGCCTTCCTCGACGGCGGCAGAAGAGAAGGAAGCCCCTGCGGCAGGCTTTTCCGCAGGCTTGCTCTCCTTCTTCCTTGTCCCATGCACAGCCGTGGTGGCGGGGGCAGCAGCGGAAAGAAGCAGAAAAGCTGCGCATGGGGCAAGGGGGGAGGGGAAAGTGCGTGCCGCTCCCCTTCCTCTCTTGCCGCGTGCGCACCTTCGCTGGCGGAGGCAGGAAAGACGTGTGAGTGAGAAGGGAAAGGTGTGCGCCTTTCTCTCCTCCCATGCCCCGTGTGCACCATCCTCAGCAGCGGCGGTAAAGGCGTGCACAGGGCACGGGAGGGGAGAAAGGTCCCTTCACCCTTGTGCTTCTTTCCTGCCTCCGCCGCCGAAGAAGGTGCGCGTGCAGCAAGAGAGGAAGGGGAGCAGCGCGACTTTTCTGCTTCCTCCCGCCACTGCCCCCGCCACCGTGCCTGCGCATGGGACAAGGAAGAAGGAGAGCGTGCGGCAAGAGAGGAAGGGGAGCGGCGCGCACTTTCCCCTCCCCCCTCACCCTTGCGCGGCTTTTTTGCTTCCTCCTGCTTCTGCCCCCACCACCACGCCCGCGCATGGGACAAGGAAGAAGGAGAGCAAGCCCGTGGAAAAGCCTGCCGCAGGGGCTCCCCCCTTCCTCTGCCACAGGTGAGGAAAGCTCGTGCTCCGCGAGGGGGAGGAGGAGGGAATGATAGAAAGACTGGGTAGCCATCTGTCAAATTCACCAGTAGCGGCTGCATTTCTCACCCTCGGCTTATACTCAAGTCAATAAGATTTCCCAGTTTTTTGTGATAAAATTACGTGCCTTGGCTTATATTCGGGTCGGCTTATACTCGAGTATATACGGTATTTGGTGGCGACCGTAATGGACAGCAGCAAAAGGCGCACTCTTTGTAATATGGCCATTACAGTTGCTGTTGCTTAGAATTCCTTCTTTAAAAACAAAAATGTTAGGGTAGCAAAGCTTCCAGCAATGGGAAAGAAAACCTTGGGGTGCATCTATGCTGTCGCATGAATCTTATGCACACCCTAATTTTGGGAAGGTAATTTAGCCAAAAAAAGGTGGGCATTAAATTTGAGTAAATACAGTGTTTTAACGATATAAATAAAAGCCTTCATGAGATAAGTTTTGTTATTACAGGGTTGTTGTGAGTCTTCCAAGCTGTATTGGCCATGTTCCAGAAGCATTCTCACCTGACGTTTCACCTGCGTCTATGGCAGGCATCCATTTCACCTGCGTCTATGGCAGGTTGTGAGGTCTGTTGGAAACTAGGAAAATTGGGTTTATATATCTGTGGAATGTCTAGGGTGGGAGAAAGAACTCTTGTCTGTTGGAGCTAGGTGTTAATGTTTCAATTGGTCACTTTGATTAGCATTGAATGGCCCAGCAGTTTCAAGGTCTGGCTTCTTGTTGCCTGGGAGAATCCTTTGTTGGGAGTTGATTAGCTGCCCCTGATTGTTTCTTGCCTGGAATTCACCTGTTTTTGAAAGTTGTTCTTTATTTACTGTTATGATTTTAGAGTTTTTAAATACTGGTAGCCAGATTTTGTTCATTAAATGCTAATCAAGGTGGCCAATTGAAATATTTACACCTACCTCGAACAGACAAGTGTTCTTTCTCGCACCCTGGACATTCCACAAATATATAAACCTCATTTTCATAGTTTCCAACAGACCTCATAACCTTTGAGGATGCCTGCCATAGGTGCAGGCGAAACATCAGGAGATAATGTTTCTGGAACATGGCCATACAGCTTGGAAGACTCAGAACAACTTAGTGATTCTGGCCATGAAAGCATTTGACATATAAACCCTTTTTCTTAGTTCCAACAGACCTCACTACCTCTGAGGATGCTTGCCATAGATGCAGGTGAAACGTCAGGAGAAATGTTTCTAGAACATGGCCATATAGCCCGAAAAAACCTACAACAACCCAATGATTCCGGCCATGAAAGTCTTCGACAATACATTTGACAATACTTTATTATTACAGTTTATGTTCGGGTCTGTATCTCTTATAAACCTCTGGTTTGCTAGTAAAACCGAGTTACTGTGTTGCAAAATGATGTATCTCTAAAAAGTGTTTGGCAAGCTCTGCCCTATAGCATTGCCAGTGTGGCAGGGAAAAGAAGACTGCAACTTTCTTATCCTTTGCCTTAATCCAAAAAAAAAAAAATGCCACATATCTTGGACCTTGTTGCTGACTATCCTCTTTTGCTCTTTGTTTACAGCTGTGATTGTGGGAGGGGTCGTTGGCGCTCTGTTTGCTGCCTTCCTGGTCATGCTGTTGATCTATCGGATGAAAAAGAAAGACGAGGGGAGCTACACCTTGGAAGAGCCCAAGCAGGCTAGCGTCACGTACCAAAAACCTGACAAGCAGGAGGAATTCTATGCATAAACTGGAACCGCAAGTGCCTCACTTTCTCTTTCTATCTCAATGCCGTCCTTTTTTAAAAGAAATGAACAGTCTCTCTTGTTGTTTGTCCCGGCTCTTTCAAATCACAGCTGTGAATTTTAACAAGGAGGATTGAAGGCAGCTTTTAACAATTCTTTTGAAGAAAGAGGCCATTTTTTAAAAGTCTTGCACGTTTTTAAAAGAAAATTACAAAGGTCAACATGGTTCCAGTGGAGAAAGCATTGCAAGGAGCGCTGGCGCCTGAAGCCAAGAGATGTGGCCAGTTCTGGACCACTTCTCTTGGTGAATGTCTGAACTCGTAGCTCAACTAGAAATGTCCTGGATTCCTATCATTCTCAGGACTACAGACTTGATTTTTCTTTTTTAAAAAACCATGATGAACACTTTTGCTTTCTGGCACTTTGTAGTACTCTTCATAACAAAAGTTTGACTCTATTGATTTCAAGGACAAGGAGGTGTCGCAACCTTCCACCACCTTTTCCTCAAATCTGTTTGCTTTGCTGCAATCAAGCCTTGAATTGCTTCACCAGAGAGCTGACGTGGTCTATGGAGGGGCCCCTTGAGGATTGTGCATTGCTTTCTCTCTGATGGGACCATCCTTCACCCCCTTCCTGTTCACAACCGCACACTGCAGGATTATTCTGCGCTTGCCGCAGTGTCTTGTTTGGCATTTTGTCCAGCTGTGCCTCACCATGACATTGGAAACTCAGCTTCTCTAGTATTGGAATGAAGTTGACGAAGGGACACTTTTCTAGGCTGTTATTAACAGAAAAAGGGGGACCTATCAATGTAGGGGTGGAAGGCAAGATATCTTCTAAATCTGTACAAAGAGTTCATATTTCATACATATCAACAAGTCATTTCCTTCTTTGCTAGGGAAGGAGGATAGGCAAGAAGGAGAAGAAGAACAATGTGCAAGCCTGCAAAGCACTTCTACAAATGTTTGCTCCTATAGGACTGCAAAAAAATGAAAGTGGGCAGAAGGCGATGAAATCTTTACGTGACTAATGGGGCTTTCGAACTTTTAAGCAAATTAACATTTTTGTTGGCAACTTGGGTGAGCCACGGCTACTGAAGGGCAGATTGACAGGTAGTCTCGGCCCCTAAACAGAGGGGCAGGTTTTGAAAAAGGATGGGATTATGTGCGATTAACTATGACATATCTTAAAGTCATGTCAAGTGTAGAACCAAAAAACAACAGAAAGGAAATGTAGCATGAGAAAAAACGTAGTTGGCTAACGTGAAAAAAATAAGCACGTTTTACGGAATGCCTCATAGTCGGATGCTGTTACAAAGCATCTGTTACTCCTGGCAAATATCTGTTCATTAGCAACTACTGAACACTGTATACATAAAGTCTGGCTAGAGTGCTATGACCCTCTTTGGTCACATTTAAATGGCATGTCAACAACTAGGAGAGGATTCAGTATTGATTTAGAAAGGAGATAATGAGCTTGGCACACATGATGCACAATGGGGAGCTCGGGACCATAATTAACTCAGAAGGAGAAGGAGGAGGACAAGCAGAGGAGGAGGAGGAGGGGGGGAGGAAATGTGCACACAATCAGTGTTCAGGTTTTTAAATGATAGACAAATTGATTGAAGGATGAGGCAGACCGAGTTGGCCTCAACAAAAGATCTTTCTTCAGAAGTTTCTTCCCTTCTGCGTCCAGGAAATGGTGTGATGGGGAGACTAGAGATCAGCCTATTGGCCCTACAGTTCCTGCCTTCTTGCTGTCTGTATCCACAATTCTCTTTTGAGGGAGGGCTGAACCATTTGGGCAGTGAAGGGAATCTGGCTTTCGTTCAGTGGGCTCCTTGCATAATTTAGGTGGGAAATTGTGGCAGTTCAACTGTTCTTAGAGTAGAAAAGGTTCCCTACTGTAGACGTTCCCTACTGCAGACTTTACATTAAGTCTGGTCTTGGTAGGTGCTTATTTGTGCCCACAGACATACCGCATAAAATGGTTTTGGCACTATTATCTGCCGTATGCTAACATGTAATATTACTTCTGACTTGGCAGTGATATAGAGCTTCTTTCCAGAGGTTTTTTTTGGGAGGGGTGAGATAGACTTGGGCCTCTTTCACACAGCTGTATCAAATCCACATTGAACTGGATTATATGGCAGTGTGGACTCAGACAACCCAATTCAAAGCATATATGGTGAATGATCTGCCTTGATATTCTGGGTAATATTGCTGTGTGGAAGGGTCCTTAAACAGCCCTATAGGTTTTGCCAATTAAGGGTAAAACAAGTGTCTGAAAAGACCTTGAACTGGAGGCTGTGTGGATATGTTGGGATACGTTTAGTGGCTGAGTATGGCCCACAGCCCACACATACCTCCTCCTGCCTTAGAACCCAAGGCTGAAGCCAGTTGCACTCTAGCAGCACTTGGGAAGAGGAGAGGAGCATTACTATCCAAAGAGGCAGGAGATGTCACGTCACGTTTTATTCTAGGGAGGTGGTAGTTGTAAAGTCAAGTCAATGTGTGAACGCTGTTACCAACCATCAACAGTGCTCCCAACTCAGCCATAATCATCTCACTCAGAATATGGTAAGAGAGTGTTCAATTTTGTATGTTTTGTCAAAAATACAGTGAAAGGTAAGTTCAAGGAATCAGTAGAAAACTGAGACAAAAATAGCTGTGGTTAGATCTAGGAGGAATTGTCTCCTTTTGAACATCTATATATGCATATGTATATGTATACATAAGGTAACGGCGCTCCATGCAGTCATGCTGGCCACATGATCGTGGAGGTGTCTTCGGACAACACTGGCTCTTCGGCTTAGAAATGGAGATGAGCACCAACCCCCAGAGTCGGACACGATTAGACTTAATGTCAGGGGAAACCTTTACCTTTTATATGTATGTAAGCTCAGAGTTCTGAGAGTGCCTTGGACTGCGAGAAGATCCAACCAGTCCATCCTCCAGGAAATAAAGCCCGACTGCTCATTGGAAGGAAGGATATTAGAGACAAAGTTGAAGTACTTTGGCCACATCATGAGGAGACAGCAAAGCCTAGAGAAGACAATTATGCTGGGGAAAGTGGAAGGCAAAAGGAAGAGGGGCCGACCAAGGGCAAGATGGACGGATGGCATCCTTGAAGTGACTGCACTGACCTTGAAGGAGCTGGGGGTCGTGACGGCCGACAGGGAGCTCTGGCGTGGGCTGGTCCATGAGGTCACGAAGAGTCAGAGACGACTGAACGAATGAACAACAAAGCTCAGAGTGCCCAATCCAGATCTGATCCTAGTATTAGGATAGAGACTTTAACCTTCCCTCCTCCCCTTGCGGGTGAAGTCCAATTTGGGACTGTGTGTTACAATTAGCATTACCAAAAGTAACCCAGTGTGGTGTTCCTTGCTGTGTTGGATCCATTGCATTCCACTTCCCTACCTAGACCATACCCGTTTCATCTGACTTTGGAAGTTATCCAGAATCAGCTTGGTTAGTATTTGATGGAGATACTATGGAAAATGAGGGCTCTCCAGGAAAGGCTCAGAACCCTGCATGAACACTGGAGAGTCACTGCTAATCAGAGTTAATAGTCCTCAGCTAGATGGATCAAAGCATCAGCATATGGCATCTTCCAGTTTCATAGAATCATAGAATCATAGAGTTAGAAGAGACCTCATGGGCCATCCAGTCCAAACCCTTCCTAGAAGCAGGAATATTGCATTCAAAGCACCCCTGACAGATGGCTATCCAGCCTCTGTTTAAAAGCTTCCAAAGAAGGAGCCTCCACCACACTCCGGGGCAGAGAGTTCCACTGCTGAACGGCTCTCACAGTCAGGAAGTTCTTCCTCATGTTCAGATGGAATCTCCTTTCTTGTAGTTTGAAGCCATTGTTCGCGTCCTAGTCTCCAGGGAAGCAGAAAACAAGCTTGCTTCCTCCTCCCTGTGACTTCCTCTCACATATTTATACATGGCTATCACATCTCCTCTCAGCCTTCCCTTCTTCAGGCTAAACAAGCCCAGCTCTTTAAACCGCTCTTCATAGGGCTTATTCTCCAGACCCTTGATCATTTTAGTCGCCCTCCTCTGGACACATTCCAGCTTGTCAATATCTCTCTTCAATTGTGGTGCCCAGAATTGGACACAATATTCCAGGTGTGGTCTAACCCAGGTGGAATAGGGGGTAGCATTACTTCCCTAAATCTATTGATGCAGGCCAAAATCCCATTGGCTTTTTTTGCCGCCACATCACATTGTTGGCTCATGTTTAACTTGCTGTCCACGAGGACTCCAAGATCTCTTTCACACGTACTGCCTTCGAGCCAGGCTGTCCCCCATTCTGTATCTTTGCATTTCGTTTTTTCTGCCTAAGTGGAGTATCTTGCATTTGACCCTGTTGAACTTCATTTTGTTAGTTTTGGCCCATTTTGGCCCATCTTTCTAATCTTTCTAATCTGTTAAGATCATTTTGATTTCTGCTCCTGTCCTCTGGCGTATTGGCTATCCCTCCCAATTTGGTGTTGTCTTCAAGCTTGATGATCCTGCCTTCTAGCCCTTCATCTAAGTCATTAATAAAGATGTTGAACAGGACCAGTCCCAGGACAGAACCCTGCGGCACTCCACTTGTCACTTCTTTCCAGGATGAAGAGGAAGCATTGGTGAGCACCCTCTGGGTTCATCCATTTAACCAATTACGGATCCACCTCACCGTAGCCCACATTGGACTAGTTTGTTTGCCAGAAGTTTGTCGAAGGCCTTACTGAAATCCAGGTACGGCATTCCCTGCATCTACCCAGCTTGTAACTCTATCGCAAAAAGAGATCAGATTAATCTGGCATGACTTGTTTTTGTTGACTATTAGTGATGACTGCATTTGTTTCTAAGTGTTTGCAGACCACTTCCTTAACCATCTTTTCCAGAATCTTGCCTGGTATCAACGTGAGGTTGACCGGATGGTAATTTTTTGGGTCATCCTTTTTTCCCTTCTTGGGACCACATTGGCCCTCCCCAATCTGATGGAACTTCTCCCATTCTCCAAAAACTCTCAAAAATGATTGTCAATGGTTCCAAGATGACTTCCGCTAGTTCCTTCAATACTCTTGGGTGTGGTTGATCTGGCCCTGGAGAGCGAGAAAACGACATAGCTGTGAATGATACAGATTGATTTTGTAAGGTACTGATGTACAGTAATAAAGTTAAAGGTAAAGGTTTCCTCTTGACATTAAGTCTAATCTGCCTCTCGGGGGTGGTGCTCATCTCCATTTTTAAGCCGAAGAGCCGGAATTGTCCGTAGACACCTCCAAGGTTATGTGTCCACTGGCATGATTGCATGGAGTGCTGTTACCTTCCTGCAGAAGCGGTATCTTTTGATCTACTCACATTTGCATGTTTCCAAACTGCTAGGTTGGCAGAAGCTGGGGTTAACAGCGGGAGCTCACCCCGCTCCCCAGATTCTAACTGCTGACCTTTTAGTCAGTAAGTTCAGCAGCTCAGTGGTTTAACCCTCTGCACCACTAGGGGCTCCTTATGTAGGATCAGATGATAAATAAATAAAGGATGCTAAAGGACATATTGGAAGCCTAGAGAAGACAATTATGCTGGGGAAAGTGGAAGGCAAAAGAAAGAGGGGGCGACCAAGGGCAAGATGGATGGATGGCATCCTTGAAGTGACTGGACTGACCTTGAAGGAGCTGTGGGTGCTGACGGCCGACAGGGAGCTCTGGCGTGGGCTGGTCCATGAGGTCACGAAGAGTCGGAGGCGACTGAACGAATGAACAACAACAAAGGACATATTACTTAGCTTAGATGCCAACTTATGGAGATACACATGTGAAGTGCTCCAGCCATAGAAATGAAGAAGCAAATAGACTGGAAATGTCCTGCCCAAAGCACCATCCGAGAATGGACAAGATTTAGTCTGCTATATGCCTTCACTTTCATTCCTAGTAGCTCTAGAACAGGCATGGACAAACTTGGGCCATCCAGGTGTTTTGGACTTCATCTTCCACCAGCTGTTAGGAGTTGAAGTCCAAAACACCTGGAGGGAGGGCCAAAGTTGGCCCATGCCTGCTCGCGTCCATATGACCAGTGATGCAGGATTATGGGAGGTGTGTTCTAAAAGCTCAGGGGGGAATGGTTCCATGTCCCATCCTACAACAGACTGAGCAACTGAAGGTGGTTCTACACAGACACTATAATCCAATTCAAAGAGGTTTTGAGGGTGGGGTGTCCACAGAATGTAGATCCCAGTGTGCACTGCAGTGTGCATCAGGTATGTAACAAAAACAACTCATCAGAAATTCCAAAACAAGCCAGATAATGTGCTGCAGCCAGTTGGAATATATCCCATGAGGAGCTCAGAACAGGAACCGGAAAATGCAATGCACTTGTCAGACCTGGCTAGCACTGAAGTACTTTTAGAAATGCAGAAACACGGGTAAACAGTTACACCCCCAGGAGAGGAAACCACATCATTCCCATGGGAACTCTCATTTTTTAGCCATTCTCATTTCCTGTGCCTACCATGATCCAGCACTGAACCTAAATGGACATGGATATGCACATCAGTGCATCTCAGAAGACTGTTTTTTTGTTTTTTGTTTTAAAAACTGCATTTTCCAGTGGTTGTCTACATGTGGATTTGGTTCTGATTTACAACCAGCAGATACTGTGACCACCAATCCAGCCTGAAATCAGTTTGTGTGGGTGCTGTGCAGTAAAGCCAGTTTGTTTTAATCCACTTCCAAACTGGATTATTGCGTCTGTGCAGAATTGCCTTGAGAGTCTATAGTTGATTCATATACTTATACTTCAAAGACATGTCATGTTTTTGATGTTTTAAAAACAATATTGGACAAATTTGTAGAATATGAGGTTATTATTAATGACTTAGTAATGACAGCCACCTATTTTATGCCTCTCAATACAATATTCAAAATGCTTGGGATCTGAGGTGTTTGAGATTTTGGATTTTTCCAGATTTTAGAATACTCATATTTGCATATTTATATGTAATGAATATTTTGGTGATGGAAGGTAAGTCTAAACACAAAACTCATTAATGTTGCATATATACCTTATACAAATCGCATGAAGGTACTTGTATACAATGTTTTGAATAATGTCAATGCATGACACAAAGCAAAGGTGTCCCTGTCTCAGCTACCTCTATGGGCAGTTTGGGATTCTGGAGTGTTTTGGAATTCTGAATTAGGAACATGTGTAACTTGTACTATACAATACAAATGCAAGGGAGCTGTTACGTTTACGCTCTCTTTGTGTGATTCTCATAAGTATTTGATTGGTCACCATCGGAACAGAATAATAGAAAACATGGATGTTTTTGCTGATCTTGTCTTACATTCTTAAATATTTTTGAAGCAAATATGAATAAGCAAAAAAACCTCATAGACATATGAAGTGTTCTTCAGAAATTGTTTAAAGTGCTAGTATACTTATATAGTACTTCTCTTTCTGAACTCATGAAAACCAGGGATGGGAAACTTGAAGCCTTCCCAGCATGATTGGACATCAGATACATCCAAATGTGATTGGACTTTAGATCCATCAGCTGAAAACATCCTGATTAACTATGATATATGGTGGGAACTGTTGTTCATCAAGATTTGGGTGGCCACGGGTTCTCCAGCCCTTTCAGAATCACTATTCTGCATCTTTACTTAG